TCATCCCATTAGAGCCGAAGAATGGTCTAAGAGAGTCGTCGATCATGAACCGAGATCAATCCGAGACCAGTATCAAACATACAACGGATATCAAAGGGGAAACGAGTCTGGGCATCACCCCATGAGGAACAAAAAGAGAAGTGATCGAGAGCCCAATAGCTGAGGTCTGATGAGCAAAAATAGTTTTGACAGGCCGCTCGGAACCAGGGAAACACCAAGATTGTCAGAATATAACTTTAACGTTGATGCTGCCAACATCGTATCAACCATTAGGTGCATCAAGGAAACTAAGTAGCATCGACCATTCCAGTCCGACCCTACCTAGAGAGATCCTAACTTAATGTGTAAGTATCATGGCACTCATGGCCACATCAGCGAGGACTGCCAGCAATTGAGAGAAGAAGTTTCATGGTTGTTTAATAATGAGCACCTACGAGAATTTTTGAGTGATCAAGCCAAAAACCACTTCAGAAACAGGGACGCCAACAAATAGACCGAAAAAGAGGAACCTTAGCACATTATCAACATGATCATTGGAGGGGTCAATTCCCCTCAAGGGCTAATGATAAAATGCACTAAAGTATCTATCACGAGGGAAAAACGCACCCGAGATTATATCCCGGAGGGAATCATTTCATTCAGCGATGAGGATGTCGAGGGCATCATACAACCTCATAATAATGCACTAGTAATATCCATACTTCTTAATAAATCTCGAGTTAAACATGTGTTGATTGATCCAGGAAGCTCGGCTAACATCATCCAATCAAGGGTCGTAGAGCAATTAGGGTTATAGGATCAAATAGTGCTAGCAGTCCGGATGTTGAACGAATTTAACATGGCATGCAAAACTACTAAAGGGGCAATAACCCTACCAGTGAACACCAGTGGAACCATCCAAGAAATAATGTTCTATGTGATTGAAGGGGATATGAGATATAACACTATATTCGGAAGACCACAGGTTCACAACATGAGGGTGATACATTCGACCCTACATCAGGCATTGAAATTCCCTTCACCGGGAGGAATCATGATGGTCTACGGAGAACAGTCGGTTGCAAAGGAGATGTTCGAAGTACTCCTGGTGCCCACTGTCTCGACATTAAGGAACATGGAGTCGACCAGAAAGGCTGAAGTTAAATAGAAAACCCTGATGTCGGTCCCGATCGTACTAGAGGAACAAGCAGTTGATGAGGATGATGATTACGAAGTTCCGAGATCATTCATAGCTCTTGATGATACCGATGCCACCAAATCGATGATCGAAGAGTTGGAGCAAGTCACATTGATCGAACACCTGCTGGATCAAAAGGTGTACCTGGGCACGGGATTAACCCCCGAGCTCAAGAAAAAACTCATTAATTTTTTTAAAGCTAACATAGCTTGTTATGCTTGGTCCCATATTGTTTAACCACTCATAAGCTGAGTTTGGACCTAAAGTCCACCTGGTTAAATAGAAGAGGCGACCTTAGTCCGAGGTCAAACATGCATTCATCAAGGATGGCGTATCTACACTCCTTAAAATATGGTCCATTCGGGAATTTAAGTACCCGGACTAGTTAGTAACATAGTGGTAGTACCTAAAAAAGGAAATAAGCTAAGAATGTGTGTAAATTACAAAGACGTGAACAAGGCATGCCCTAAGGATTTTTTTTGCTTTGCCTAACATCGATAAGATGATCGACGCGACGGTCGGGCACGAGATACTCAGCTTTCTCGATGCCTATTTCCGGTACAACCAAATTCGAATGAACCCGGGCGATCAAGAAAAGACTTCTTTTATTACTAAATTTGGCACCTATTGTTATAACATAATGCCATTCAGATTAAAGAATGTTAGTGCCACCTATCAATGCCTACTAAATCGGATATTCGAAGAATAGATAGGAAAATTAATGGAAGTATACATTGATGACATGTTAGTCAAGTTCCTACGAACAGAGGACTATTTGAAACATTTGCAGGAAACCTTCGACATATTGAAGAAGTACAATATGAAGCTGAATCCGAAAAAGTGTGCATTCAGTGTCAGATCGGAAAATTCCTCGGGTTCATGGTGTCCAATCGAGGGATCAAGATCAATCCCGATAAAATCAAAGCCATTGAAGACATCACCATGGTGGAGAATATCAAGGCAATTCAAAGGTTAACCTGGCATATAGTTGCCCTGGGCCGGTTCATATCGAGGTCCTCGGACAAAAGCGATCATTTTTTCTCACTACTAAAGAAGAAGAATAACATTTCCTAGATCGTAGAGTGCCAACAAGCTTTGAAAGAACTCAAACGGTACTTATCGATTCCACCTCTGCTGCACACTCCGAAGGCGGACGAACAGTGGTACCTTTACTTGGCGGTTTCAGAGATGGCGGTAAGTGGAGTCTTAGTTCGGGAAGAGGAAGGTACGCAATTTCCTATTTACTATGTCAGTAGAACTCTAGGTGAGTCCGAAACAAGGTATCCTCACCTGGAAAAATTGGCGCTCACTTATACGCCTCCAGGAAGTTAAAACCGTACTTTCAATGACACCCCATATGTGTCGTAACCTCTTACCCACTGAGGAAAATCATGCAAAAACCCGAGCTCTCGGACCAGTTGTCCAAATGGGCCGTCGAAATCAGTAGGTAGGATATCGAGTATCGACCATGAACCGCCATAAAATCTCAAATTTTGGTAGACTTCATGGACGACTTTAAGCCATCCTTAATACGCAAAGTCAAAAGGGAATTATTGTTAACCTCGGGGACTACCTCAAAATTTGGACCCTTTTTATGGACGACACCTCAAACGCCAAGCGGTCCGGGCTCGGCATCGTGTTAAAATCACCTACAGATAATGTAGTTAGACAGTCTATTAGAAACGTGAAATTGACTAACAATGAGATCGAGTATGAGGCCATAATTACAAGTCTCAAATTGGCTAAAAGCCTTGGGGCCGATGTGACCGAAGCTAGTGCGATTCCTTCCTCGTGGTAAATCTAGTTAATGGGACGTTCCAAGTGAAAGAGGAAAAATGCAAAAGATACTTAGACAAATTACAGGTAACATTGGATCAATTCAAGGAATGGACCGTGCAACATGTGCCTCGAGATCAGAACAACAAGGCCGATGCTCTGGCTAACTTGGGTTCATCGGTCGATGTCAGTGGATTCAGTTCGGGAAAGGTAGTACAACCCATGAAGTCAGTGATAGAAGAAGGCCACGCCGAAGTAAATTCGACGAGTTTAACTTGGGATTGGAGGAACAAATAGATAGACTACTTGAAGACTGGAAAATTACCCTCGGATCTCAAAGAATCGAGGGCCTTACATACCAAGGCTACTAGATTTAGCTTGGTCAAAGGGACATTGTTCACAAGAACATTCGACGGCCCGCTAGCCAGATGTTTGGGGCAGGGAGATACCGAATATGCCTTGAGAGAAGTTCACGGAGGCACTTGCAGGAACCATTCAAGGGTAGAATCTTTGGTTCGGAAATTAATCAGAGCTGACTATTACTGGACCAAAATGGAAAAAGATGTAAATGACTTCGTACGAAAATATGATGACTGCCAAAGACACGCCCCGATGATACATCAACCAGAGGAAATACTCCACTCGGTTTTGTCTTCATGGACATTTATGAAGTGGGGAATGGACATTATCGGTCCCGTACCGTGGGCACCGGTAAGGCTCAATTCAAACTATTCATGACCGATTATTTTTCCAAATGTGTCGAAACTCAAGCGTTCGGAAAGGCCCGAGAGAAATAAGTCATTGACTTCACTTGGGACCACATAATATGTCGATTTGGCATACCGGCCGAGATCATTTACGATAATGGGAAACAATTCATCGGCAGCAAGGTAAATAAGTTCTTCGAAGATAAAAAGACACTACTAGAAAATAGACCTACGACAACGATTTTTATGCAATGGTTATAGAACCGTTGCTCTAGGCGTTTTATTGCAACGGTTACAACCATTGCAGCAGAGTACAAGTTCTATAAGGACACTTTTACAACTGAACCATTGCAGTAGATATAGAACTGTTGCGATAGATGATCCTATTTCAGCGGTTTACATGAACCGTGGCAATAAATCCAAACGGGGCAACGGTTCTCTAAATAAAGGCTTATAGCAACGAATGACTTTCCCTCCTTATTTTTCCCCTTCTAATTTCGCTAAACCCTAGGTGAGTACCTCTTCTCTGTTACCTCTAAGTAAAACCTAGAAACCTAAAGAGACTCTGCTAGGAACCCCCTAAAACACAGTTCAATCTTAGTGATGAGCACAATAATCTGAAAAATATTCCAGCAATGGAAAACCCACAGAGGTCCATCTTTTTCCAGCATTTTTATGGAGGTTCATACTTTTCAAGTGATCTTACCGAGGAGAATAACATTTTGTACCTCAAAACCCTAGTACCTTTCATAAACCAACTTTGGAGGTGAGAAGTTGAGGGAGACTTTGTTCTTTCGATCTATTAGTAGTTTTTGCCGTTATAAGGTTAATCAACTTATTTGTTAAGTGTGTTTCTTCTGATTTTGTTCGTAATGTTCAGGGATTGTGTAGCTGCTAGAAAAAGAAAAACTTAGAAAGGAAGACAAAGAGTTTAACAAAAGGAAAAATTTATTTCATTTTCGATAATGACAATTACAACGGAACACTGCTATATAGAATGAAAAGGACAATGACAGATAATATCCTAACAACTCGACACATGGGACGACATGTGTCTATATTCTAGAATCTCCTAATGGACTGATTACTGTAAAGACTAAGTTGGACTCACTATGGACTAAATGATATTTGGGCCTTATTGAAGAAAACTAACGTGGGCTAATCCCAAAATCCTTTACCATTCGCAGACCCAACTCTTAACATAGCTATGGCTACAGATTGCTAGGAATCTAATAGTTGCGATTTGAGGTAAATCTGTCAATTTCTTTTTTTTATCAGATATTGTAGCTTAATATTTAGGAAGTTTTTTCAAAATGATGGTTCTTTTTCTTAGGGATGCCTTTTCTTTCTTTTGTTAGATTGTTTTTTGAATCTCTATTTGGTTTGGCAATTAAATCAGTGAAAGTGTGTTTGATTTGAATCTTATCAAATGTTGTCCTTAAAAATCAATTTTGCAGCACTTATTGGCATCATTGTGGCATAGAGCTCTGTTTACTCCTCAACCTGATATTATAAGATATAGTAAGAGTTTTCTTTTGATTTAGTAATACATTTATGGAATAGCACATAGTTTCCTATTCAAAATCTTGTACATTTACGTAGACTCAATTGTTTTTTCAATTATTTCTTTTCTATTTGATAATTTATATATTTACTAATGAAGCATATTTTGCCTTTGTTGTTTGGTTGTAGTACCTGAATATAATTATTTTTTTCCCATTGGCTTCCCTAATTCTATTGTGCTAGAGTTCATTGTATTTGCAATAGCCTTTTCTGGTTATTGATGGATGTTTTGTACAAGCAAAATAATATGGGGCTTTGATAGTTATCAAAAGGTTTTGAGAAGGTCTTAAGAGGTTAGCCAAATGAGATTTTTGACTGCAATCCTGACTTCAATAATACTTTTAAGCAAATCAAATAATAATGTCTTGGTATTAGGACCATTCAAAGCCCATCATATAGAAATATTATACTATGTGTTTNGTGTCGGCTTGGCCTTTCATAAGTGGAGACAGAATAAAGCGTCCATAATAAAGGCGTTTACTGTCTGTTCTTGATTCAACACACTTCCACTGTAGTGTCCGAGTAGATACTGTTACTTTCTCTCGAACCATAGTACTATTATTTGATTAGATCATCGAATCTTTTATTTCTCTTGAGATTTCTTCAATGTTCAGTTCTACACACGTCTTTTTTTCGGAGGTCTACAGCCATTATGTGGCATAGGAGTTACATCCCGTACGAAAGTTAATAGTATACCACTTCGACGAATAGCTCGTAATGCTGCATCTCTTTTAACAATATAAATATAGTAAAGAGATAAGATTTACTATGTAAAAGAAGGAATAGTTAGGTACATGGTTACTAAATGCAAAGAATGAGCATAAACGTTGATATAAGTGGTACAAAATGGTATCCATTTGTTTCAGAAAATAAGATAAGAAGCAATTCGTTTTCAGTGGATTTTTGCTCACTCAAGTTTCAAAGGGGATTCATTACCAAGGGATAGTTTAGTAGCTAAAAGACCACAATCTAGATCACTATCATAAGTTCTAATCTTAGTAGCTCTAGAGCACTGCTGTCCAGTTGGATCTCAATTTGCCTCTTAATGATGCGCAGAAGTAACTATATATCTAGCTACAATTGCATATTACTGCTCTTACTTTCTTTATTATGTATTAGTACCTGAATAATACTTCAAAATAGATTGGTGATACTGCTCGCAATGCCCACTTTTTTTGATTTTCTTGCTGTTGTGTTTGAATTTTAACATGAGCGGATATAGATGAGTATTAAAAAGCATTGTCGAGAGGTGGATCAAATCGTAATCAATGTATATTAGGCTTTTATTATGTGTCACTACAAGGCATGGTACCATGATTTCTTTTTGATTGTCCTATTTCTAGAAATAACACAGAAGCAAGTGACCTATCTGTAACTGTTGATTGCATCTTATCAGTGCAGGCTAGGAGCTGATAGTAAACATCAAAGAGATTACATCTGATTTAGTATACCTAAGGTACTGTTACTACTAATCTTCTTAAATTTTAATAGTTAATTTATTTTTCTGGTGGTGGTGCTAATAATAATAACTCACTTATTCCAGAATATCGTGGGGCTACATGATGAGAAATTAACCTTGTGTATTACAAGTAGTACTATCAATCATATGGATTTTAAATATTACTTAATGAAAGCACTTGAAGAATCACTTTTAGATGGCATATGTGTCTTTATCATCTTTGCGTTTGCTCAATTTTTATTTGATAATGTAGATCTTGTTGATAAAGATTTTGGATATATTATGAGAACAAGCGTTTCACATAACACTAGTTATGCCATAAATTCTAGTGATAGATTTTGTTCTTGTGCTACGAGATTGGATACTCTGGGACCTTACTATCTCATATTATTCTTTATTTCTATTTGTTTGAAAAATATCATTGTTGAGGTGTAAGATCATCATTTGCACACTAGATGGTTGAGAAATTATTATTCGCGCACCAAGTGGTTGGAAAAATATCACTATTGAGGAGTAAAATCGCAGCTCTATATACCTTAGAAGATCTTCCGTTGCTCCATTATTTTTTTATAACTTTTTATAGAATCAACTGCTCTATTGATTATTGTATTGTTAGCTCTAGTAAGTCAGACAAATGGACTTGTAGTAATCAACTGCTTTGGGACTGGCCGCAGTTCGACTACCATCTCAGCAGGCCTAGGTATATATCCCCTCTACTGTGAATTGTGTGCAACATAGAACATGACTTGTGAAACCTGAATTGTTTTCCTATGACTGACACATGGATTAGAGCTTTTATTTCTTATTAGTATCCTGCACATCACATTATCACTTTGAAGAGAAGTTATAATTTCATTTCTTCTTAGCGGTTTCAGTTGGTGATATGAATGTTGATGCTTATTGAATTTGTGATTGTATATTTTTCCAAGTTCTATTTACTGTTTTCAAGTACAAGTAATACTCCTAGACTAATGATTAGGGGTAAGGTCTGCGTATACATTAACCTTCTCAGACCCCATATGTGGGATTATACAGGTATGTTATTGTTGTTGTTGTTGTAATGACTATCCGGTGGTTCTTTGCATATTTTGTCTTTGCTTATTCTTTTTATTCTTTAATTGCTTATGTGTAAAAAATACACTAAAAATAGATAGTGCATATTAAGAGCTAGTATACTATTATAAGAGATATAGCTCCTAAATGTGTTTTTGTCTAAAAGATGATATACTATATGGTGGCAAAACTATTTTTTTTGGTTTTTGTCCAGAGTCCTAAACAATATTTTATGATGATGTAAATAGTAATGTGATATTGAGAAGCCTTTTTCGTTTGCTAACCTCTGAATATTATATGCTTGCCTAATTTTGTAGGTGAGGCAAGTGAACAAAGGGAAAGACAAAAACCGTGAAGACCTTACTTGATTGTTCCTAGATCTTCATATGTTCTCGGACTTTTATTTTTAAACTTTTTGCAAATTGAAGGTGGGCGTGGCCCCATGGAGGACAAGACGTGGGAAGCAAGACTCTGATGGTTCGGGCACATTCAGAGGAGGAGCACTGATGCACCAGTGAGGAGGTGTGAGCGACTGGCTGTGGTGGGCACGAGGAGAGGTAGAGGGAGACGTAAGAAGTATTGGGGGGAGGTGATCAGGCAGGACATGACACAACATAGGATTTCTGAGGACATGACCCTTGACAGGGAATTGTAGAGGTCGAACATTAAGGTTGTAGATTAGAGGGTAGTTTATGAATATTACTACAGCGCACTAGAGTGAGACTAGCCATTTAGGAGTTAGTCTTAGGATGCTACTGAGCAACTACTGATGCAGGGCTGTATCTGTTGGATATTAGTATACCTTACATCCTTTTCTCCATCGTTTTCGTATTTCCTATATTTCTTATACCGTTGTTATTTTTTTATTATTTTATGTTATGTATTCTATGTTATTTATAATGAGTCTATTGATAGTACTAATATATTGTCTCTTGTTGCTCTCTTGAGCCGAGGGTCTCATGGAAACAGTCTCTCTGCCCCTCGGGGTAAGGGTAAAGTCTGCGTACATATTACCCTCCCTAGACCCCACTTGTGGGATTATACTTGGATGTTGTTGTTGTTGTTGTTGATGATGTATACCATTGAATTGTCAAATAATATTAATGTATATTATACTTATATATTGGGATAACAAAGGTTGTATATTTTGGATTGTGATTTTATTGATGAATAGTTTCCCCTTATGGTTTATATAAATTATAATATATTATATTTTATTGTATAATTTAGCGTTGCAATAGCCTCAAAAAGCTATTGCCATAGTCCTTAATAACCGTAGCCGTAGACCTTAAAAAACATTGCTATACCTCAATATATCTTGCATAAAATTGATATTGCAACAATATGGAACCGTTCCAGTTGAGTAACTAGTCGTTGCAATATATACTCCCATGGCAACGATTACAAACCGTTACCATAGATAATTCTACGCCAACGGATTAGTAACCGTTGCTGAAAAGCGTTGCCGTAGGCCTATTGGCATGCGACCGGATGTGACGGTTCCGTTGTAATAGGGTTATTGCAACGGTTTACCTATCTATTGTAACGGTATTTGATGTGTTGCCATAGGTCTTTTTTCTAGTAGTGAGATTAAGAAAATACTATCAACACCTTTGTCACGACCCCGGTTCGCCCTCCGTAAACCATCGTGATGGCACCTAGTCTCTACGACTAGGTAAACCTAATTTGCGGAAGAAAAACCAAAATTTGCTGAAGTAAAGCAATTTAAAACGGAAATAAACTAGTAACAGTGTTTAAATGTGCTGCTCGGCTTACACCATGTTTAACTCTCAATACCACTACATAAATCCAAGACCCGAAAACCCACAAATCACAAGCTAAGATCAATACTATATAGCTCTATCTCCGGAATGTCTAATAAGAACAGAAAAGTACAGAAGAGCTAAATACTAAAAGCAGGAATAGAAAGGGACTTCTCGGTCTGTGAACGCGGCAGATGTACCTCGAAGTCTCTAGAGTGGTCGCCTCCTCAATGATCATAGGCCTGAGTAGCGGTACCTGGATCTACACATGAAAAACATGCGTAGAAGAGGCATGAGTACACCACATCGGTATTCAGTAAGTGTCAAGCCAAACCTCGGTTGCGTAGTGACGAGGAAGGTCAGGGCCATACTAAGATTAAATAATTATAAATATGACAGGATACAATAAGAAGTACAATTGAGAATCTATAGTAAGAATCTACACAGGATAATAAGAGTACAATAGCAGAAACAGAGATGAAGACAAACCACAAGGAAACAACCGGGGATCTCTCAGTATCCCGAGGATCTCTTAGTACACTCACTATATATGCCAGGGATCTCTTGGGATCCCGAGGATCTATCGGTATCCTCAATATATGTTAGGGATCTCTTGGTATCCTCAATATATGCCAGAGATCTCTTGGTATCCTGAGGAACTCTTGGTATCCTCAATATACGTGCCAGGGATCTCTTGGTATCCCGCACCTCAGTCCAGATCATAAATACGTACAGAGGATCTCCGGGGATTGCGTCCCGTAGTCCCAAATTAAAAACACATAGAAGCAACATAAGAATACTCAAATGCAAATTTCCTAGCAAGTAAAAAGTTAATTCTAGCCTAACATGCTTCACGTAATGCAATTAAGGCAGTGTCGACGCCCCCTTTTTCTATGGGTCGAAATCGGGTATATGACATTGGGAGGACAACTCTATTCCCTTTCGAGAATTGGGTTTTGTAATTTTGAAGAGTCGCTACCTAATGATTATAGTGCATTAGGACACTTTGAGAAGGGTTTGAGTTGGAAAACCAGAGTTCGGGTAAGGGCTAGAAATTATCTCGAGGGGAAGGTGTTAGGCACCCCTCAAGATCCACTAGTGTGGTCCCGTCCATGTTACAATTGTGACTTTACAAGTAAACAACCAAAGCTCAAATAAGGACTTGCATACAACATTGCAATTAGGTTGAAAACTTTTGAAGGTAAGTAGAGAGGACAGAAATTTATGTGAAAAAAAGATTTGAATGGTTTCACGAGAAGAGATGAAAGCAAATAAGGGGAGGGGGGTCCTAGGTTTACGATTAATATGGATCACTTCAATGCAATACCCAGCAATCACTCCTCAAAAAAGAGGGGTCGCACGTGATATTAGCGCATCGGTCATCATCTCCATATCTACCCTTCCCACCCCGTTAAGGTATTAAAGCGCGGAATAGTATCGCTACTTATTGCATGCTATTACCCATCCCAATCCTATCAGTCCCGGAGGCATATGAGACTACTAATCCTAAATGGGATGGAGCTGGGGCTTTTGCAGTTTTTTAAAAAGGATAAAATTCTAAGGCGACATTCAAAACATATACAACAAGTATTGGGAAAGCAAGTAAGCAGATATGGCTCAAATAAACCTCCTTAAATTAAAGAAAATTATATAGTTTAGCATGTCTTACACGTACTAATTAGGTCTGAATTAAACTTAAACATTAAGGCAGACTGATTGATCACATATATTCAGATAAGAAGTCCGAATTAGGCCTGTCTGCTGGTTGTAATTATCAAAGACTGATGCAATTATAGTTTTTACCCTAAAGCTTGCCTAGATGTTAAACGGAGCCTATAGGAATGATATCTATTAGTTTCAGAAATAAAGAAGTAAACTGATTGCAGAAAAAAGAATTGTCAATTACAGGGACATAAGATCTGCAAGCGTTAAACATTATTGCTACTGATTTTAGGCTTATAAGCGAGTTGACGATTCAGGTTTGGTTGACAACTTCTATAGGCATGCTTTCTAGGCGTTACTGATTTTAAGCGCTGTTATTGTCATGCAGAAATCCTATAGGCAGGTCATCTATATGTAGTTAGTTATTTAAATCTTATAAATAGGTTTGCCTAGTGACAGATGCATATTCAAAATGCAGGAAGTCCTATAGGCATATTACCTATATGATATGGAGAATTTCAAAAAATGACTTATAGACATGGTATCTATATGAAGTGCAGAAAAACCTATGAACATGATACCTACATGAAATGCAGAATTTTNATGAGATGCAGAATTTCAGAAGTATAGGAATTCCCTATGAACATGGTATCTACATGAGATGCAGAATTTCAGAAGTATAGTAATTCCCTATGAACATGGTATCTACATGAGATGCAGAATTTCAGAAGTATAGTAATTCCCTATGAACATGGTATCTACATGAGATGCAGAATTTCAGAAGTATAGTAATTCCCTATGAACATGGTATCTACCCCTTTGCTTACAGGACTGATCCTCCCATTTTCACTAACACCCCAGCAGTTTATTACAAGATTATTACAGACCATAATAAATAAGAAAAAGATAAGAAATATATCAGAAATTAAAGATTCCAACCAATGAGAGCCTAATTCAGACCCCAGTTCTGAAATATGAAATAAACCAATTTCCAAAGATCAGATTTCCAAAGCCTTTCTCTTATTTGGGATGTGTCAAAGTTCCAAGGAGCTTCAAGAACTCCAGGCAATGCTTACACACCCAAATATCATTGCAGAATCAGATTATAGTGCAGTGTGGAAGGGCCAGCCCTCAAATGTCCAAGCTCAGAGGGAACTCAAAGTCCCAAGGCAAGGCTCATATGAGGGGGCCAGAACTTAGAGGCTAGGAGCAAGCACAAGTGCAATAGAGGGGAATTAGGGGAAGTCCAGCGTAAACTGGTGGTCATACCCAACAATAAAGATTGTTGGCACACGCTAACTAGTCTACTAGGCCACATTTTGGGAGTTAAGATCCATTGAGGATCAGGTTCAGACCTGAGCAGCAATTTGGATACTGCCAGGCCATAAACCTTAACTCAAACACATAGAAGGGAGTAGGGGTATGGGGAATTCACAACAAACAGCAGATGCAAAGAGAGAGTAGCATATTCAATACAGAACATGAACAGGAAAGTAGCCAAGAGTGTAGCAACTGTAAAGTAAACACATAGGGATGATGCTGGAATCAAAATTAGGACATACCAGTTTCAGGGAAACAAATAAGTGAAAGCAGAAGTCTTGTAAGCCAAATTGCAAGCAAGCAGTACAAAAGATCTCAGAAGAGAGTAGAGAATTGAAAGAGTATTGTAATTGAGTGTGTGTGTGTAAGAGTATGCAATTCAAAGTGTGTTCAAGTGCAGAAGGGTAGTCCCCTTTTATAGTGCAGAAAACAAGTAAGAAAAGGTAAGGAAATAGTTTGCAATCAATCGCATAAAGTATCCCTTTGGTTAAGGGATTCTGATTTCGAACGGGCATAAGACAATTAAGGAAAGAATTTGATTAAAACCTTTTCCAAAGTAACATAATAAGGGTAAATACACAGGGTTTATTTAAGGCAAAAGTCCAATGGTACATGGTTTGTGAAAAATAAGGAAAGGGAATCAATCAAACAACCAGTAAAATCAAAGCTGCAAGATTTGTTTGAACGAACCAAGTCAGAAAAAGGGTAAAGAAAGGATCAATTAGGG